GAGAGAGAGAGTGAGAGAGTGAGAGAGAGAGAGAGAGAGAGAGAGAGAGAGAGAGAGAGAGTGAGAGAGAGAGAGAGAGAGAGAGAGAGAGAGAGAGAGAGAGAGAGAGAGAGAGAGAGAGAGAGAGAGAGAGAGAGAGAGAGAGAGAGAGAGAGAGAGAGAGAGAGAGAGAGAGAGAGTGTGAGAGAGAGAGAGAGTGTGAGAGAGTGTGAGAGAGAGAGAGAGAGAGAGAGAGAGAGAGAGAGAGAGAGAGAGAGAGAGAGATGCTTGAGAGAGATGCTTGAGAGAGAGAGAGTGGATGTGTGAAAAATTTGAATTTCGAGCCGTTTTGTCGCGCGCTTGGTGTGTGTGTGAGAGAGCGAGTGTGTGTGTGAGGGTGTGTGGGTGAGGGTTGAGGTGGTGGTGGTGAGAGGAGGATAGCGCATGATGCGGGGCCAGTTGAAGCGGGTCGGCTGAGAGAGGGGGTTTGGGTTTGGGTGGTTACGCTTGTTGCTCAGCAGCAACGACGAAGCACGTTGACTCCCCACGATGGCTCTGCGACGGCCCCTCTCCGAATCCGGTGGAGCCGCGCGCCGCTATAAAGCCCATCAGGTTTGGAACGCGCTCGTGTGCTTCAGGCAGTCCCTGATGTTACTGATGACCTATAGCCCAGCCTCAAGGACCAGGAGAGCAGTGTCCCTTAATTTTGATCTCTCATGCCGCATCCTTGCCCGATCTTCGCCGTCTGCTGCTTTTCTCTCTCGCTCACCTTTTGATACAAAACTGTAAAATCGTAGGCGGCGTTGCCGTCATCGGCATCGGCATCGCGGCGTGCTTTGGTCTTGGCTCGCGACTCAGCCGGTGACTCGGAGCCACTTTCCAGCCCACCACAACCCGCACCTCGCCGAACGATTTCGGGGCCCGAGCACTCACAACAGCTAGAGGTCACGCGCAGCAGTCGAGGGTCAGGTGGATTCGAGAATGACACCTTGGCATCGCGTGCAAGCTCACAAGCAAACTCTGACATGCAGCCTGAGATGGACAGCCCCCCAGCAGGTGCCAAGCTCTTGCATGATAGACCAGAAGATAATGCGCCCTCAAGTGGGCTGGCGCGCCTAGCTGCCATGAAGCGTGCGGCCGAGCGACGCCATCAGCAACAACAACAGCAACAACAGTGCCAAGAAGAGGCAGATGATCGCGAGCTCTCGAGTGCGGAATCAGAGGATTATGAGAGGAGTGTTGAAGATCAAGACTCTGAATCAGATCCAGCACCAGCGCCGGCATTACAGGAGCATCAAGAGGTCAAGTTGTCATCAAAGCCTTCTCATCCTCAAAGACAACGCAGCAGCACAGCTCCAAAAGCTGGGCAAGGGACCGTTGACGACATCCTGCGTCTTTTGCACGATGCTTCCTCACCGAGCAACCTTGCCCTGTCTCCTGTACCCATGGTGGCTGGACAAGAGCCTCGCCATGCACAAGGTCCAGATCAATCAACGCCTGGAAGCGGAGCAGGCTCTTCACCGCAAGTGTTCGACCCGTCAGCCGCAGCTCCTCACAACCGCGAGCCATTTGTCGACGAATATGGCATACACGAGCTACTGGTTCGCTCCTCGAGCCCTTTGATTGCTTGGCATTGTTTCGCACTCGGGTTTGGCACGATCTTCCATGGGATTGTCTTACTCGCTTAATCTTATCTTGTTTTCGTCCTGGCCGAATCACTGCCAGGCAAGGCACGCTACAGAGCCTTCTATCCAGTTCGATCAGACGCCAGAGGTGCGCCGCTTTCTCTCCATTCAGATTATTTCATGTTGATACGGACCCTCTGGCGTGCTCATTTCGTGTCCCTGCCACGCACCTTGTAGCGATATGCAACTTTGGCCTCGGGCGTGACCAACATGGTTCGTCAGCAGCAGCAGCGTCTTGAGGAACAAAATAAGGTACATATAGACTCATACCTTGTGTTCAATGCTTTGGAGACGAAGCGCTTTAGGCCTGATCACACCGTTCGCGGTCACGTTGGTGTACAATCACATGCATTAGCGCATTCATCACCTGGAACGGATGCTCCAACAACACCATCAACAGCAACAACGACAACGCAGAAATGGTGCCGATGATGCTTCAGCAGGAAAGGCAGCAATGGGGTCCGAGACCGTGGCAGAGCATCAGGCTACTATCAAGCGCCACTTGCAATTTATAGACCAACTTCTAGAAGTGCGCATCTGATTTGCGCTGGAAATTGTAGTCAGGTTTTCTGTTCTGAAGAGGAGGAGGTGGTCTTGCATCTTGCAGGCTAGAAATGATTCTCATGATGCTTTATGATATCACAATACCAGGAGAAGCGTGATCTCGCAGATCAATGTGCTCAACTTGCTCAAACGGTGCAAGACATGTCCAGCAAAGCCGAGCGCAAGTCTGTTCCTGTGTCGGTGACTGCATGTCAAGAACATCACTAATTTTCCAACAACTCACCCTCGATTCTGATTCTACTCCTACTGCTTGCCCTTCTCCAAGACTGACTGCGATGGCTCAACAGCGCAAACAAGAACTGGCGCGAACTAAAGCGGTAAAAATTCGTGTTGGGATTGGAGGTGGCACTGCACCAACAGTTGACTTGCCCTGATACTACTTGATGGCGATCATTAGACTTTGAAAGAAGAAGATCGACGCAAGCGAGAGCATTGGATTGCCAAGGAAAAACAAAAAATAAAAGAGCTGACTATAAAAGGCATGGAGCCCGAACTTCAGCGAATGTTGCGTCAGCACGACGCCGAGGTAGAATGAATTCTCGAAGGTCGCTTGCCAATGGTGGCTGTGGTGCCAGTGCAGGCGCAAATGCCATGTGTCCGATGCCTCTGACTGGCTATCCAATGTTATGATGCCCGCTCGCATCTAGATATCGCGGTTGAAACAGTCGCACGTAGCCGAGTTGGAGCGCCTTGAGACATCCCATGCTGAAGCATTAGTCAGGTACTCATGGTCTCAGTATGCACTCGCTGCTCCAAAACAGCACAATACCTTTCCAGCTAACACCAAGTGCGCGCATGATGTGCATTGCATGTACATTTGTCTCCAGGGAGCGTGAGGCTGCGCGCCGTGCCACCGAACAAGAGCGCGAACGATATCAAGAGCAGCAATTGGCTGCTGTTCGAGAAAAGTACCAGTTACAGATTCAGAAAGACGAACAATACTACCAAGAACAGGTCAGGCCAGACTCTGCTTGAATCAAAGCTGTCTCTATCAGCTCATGTTCCCTTATTGGGTCATGTCGAAAGGACCTGTTGCATGCGCCAATACACCTTCTGAATTGGCTCTGTTTCGCATGTCTCTGGTTCAGCGTCGCCAATGGCAAGCAGAGCTTGATCGAGTTCGTTCAGATCACAACGTCGCTCTGCAGGCCGAACAAGCTCGCCAACAGGAGCAGATGGAAGTCAGTCTCGCATGGCTTGGATTCGATTCTTCTTGCTAATCATACACACAACATGACTCGACTGATGTCACGTGCTTTTCTTTTTCCTCCTTTGTACCCGTACTTTCAACTTAAACTGAAATAACGGTGCAGCGTTGGCGTCAAGAAGAACGAATCACCACTGAGGCCTTGGTTGCAGATTTGAAGGAACAACTGGCTCAGAAGCAGGAGGAGTATGAGACAGCCCTGAGAGCCAAGGTTGAGCAGTTTCAGCTTGAAAAGCAGACTTGGGAGGACATGATGCAAAGAAAACAGGCACTGGAGGCTGCCCGCAAGGTAGCATCTGCCCACGTCTCCTTGATGATGACATAATGTGATGAAGGTTTTGACAAGTCCCAACTTTTTTTTGTCTTGGCCATGCCCCTCACCCGAAACGTTTTTTTTTGTATTGCAGGAGGAAGAATTGCGGGATCAAATGCGGCTGCAACGCGACCGAGAAATTGAACAAGTGGTCACTCGTTTGGCCGAGGAACAGAAACGACGGGAGGATGATTTGCGTGCTCAATATGAAAAGCAGCAACAGAAGCTGCAGAGACGATACGAAGAGCAGCTCCGCGATCTTGAAAATGCCGAAGGCAAGGCTTTGGCTACAGTATCCGACCACAAGCGCGCGGCAGCCACTCACGCCGAGCGCGTGCAAGAGTTGGAGGGAAGGGTCGAGGGTCTACAGTCTGCCAACGCCACATTACACGACGAACTCAAAGCCCTTCGTGCGCAGGAGCATGGCTTTTTAGAGACTGCGCGTGCAGAATGCCAGGATGAGCTAACAGCATTGCGCTCACAGGTCACCTCACTCGGCCAGCAGCTGCTCGAAAGTCAGGTCGCTGCGTCTCAGCAGGTGACTCGAATCCAAAGCCAGCACGATGAGCAGCTTCAAGATGTGAAGCGGCGGATACATGCCACTTTGGCAGAAAAAGATGAGCGCTTGCAAAATCTGTCCCAACAAAACCAAAGTTTACAGCGACGATTAGCTGAGCTGACTCACCTTCTGGAACAAGTCCAACATTTGGGAGCCGGTGAAGTTGCTCTATCTAGTTCCGACCTAGCTGACGGCGAGGGCCACTCGGCCTCTGATGGTCACGCGCCCGACTCTGCGCTCTAGCCCAGAGTGTTACTCTGAGTACTCACAAATCAATCCAAGTTTTGTCATGGGCAATGACCATGTTTTTGTCTTTCTCGTTTTCTTTCTTTTTTTCGGATGATTCTTGCAATTTGAAAAGGGTTGAAAGGAAGGTCAATGTTCGATTATCCAAATCCGGTCAGCTAACATGAACAAAAGACGATAGTTGCCTACCTCAATCAGCCCAAGTCACATTTGCTCTTCAGTGCAGCCACTCACAGAGGCTAAGGAAGGCATAATGTGTAGTACAAGCTTCAAGAGTGTAAACAACAAAAGCCCACAAGACAGGCACAGGTCACAAGTCACGAATTACACACACACACACACACACACACACACACACACACACACACACACACACACACACACACACACACACACACACACACACACACACACACACACACACACATACACACACTAAACGCAGAATGAAAAGAAAAAAAAAAAAATGCAACTCACAGAACACAAAGACACCCAAACGCAACAAGCGCAAAACAAAAACATCTGGGAGAATTTACTATTTCCCGTAGTCAGGAGGAGACAGAGGAACAAGGTCTAGGATCAAGGTCGATACAGTATACAAACTGTGTGGCCCTCGTGTTTATGAGCATCCGACAATAAAGTTGTTGCTGACATCACTGATCAGCCATTCAGAATGCACGAGGTAGCAGTTGTTCTGTTCTGAGCAAAGGGCCAACCGCCTGACCTCATTAGCATCTATCGTGTTCAACGTCATGGTGATCTCAGTTACCGCGCCTTGATCAAAAGCAAGACCTTCAGACCACACCGCGCCCGAGGGTGCAATTGCCCCGGTTAAGGTGTAGTTGGCCACTTCCGTCTGCACAGCATCCAGTAAGCTCAACTCCGTGGCTTCAAAGCTACTACCGTCCACAGTCTCATCAAAGGTGATGGTCAACTCTAATGTCTGCATCGACAAAGAAAAGCCAAGGATTACTGGGGGGGTTGTGTCTGCCACCACTGCTGCCGGGAGCGTTTGTGAGGCCACCGCATTATCCGCCATATCCAGGATGGCACCAGATGTTAATATGATGCTTGAGCTGTTTACAACATGGCTAAAGTTAGTGGCTTTCTTCATGAGGTTGACATCCTCATTGAGCAACATGTACTCTGCTATGTGGCTGTTTTGCACCGAAGTAATTGCTTGCAGACCGGTCAAGGTCACTGTCTCGGGACCCACGACAACAGCCACATCAGAAGGAAGCAGGGACGTGATGTTAACGACCTCATCAAATGTTAGAGTCAACAACGCGGCCGCCACTTGTTGATCAAGTGACGCAACGTAGTATCCAGTGTTGAAATCCAGGGTGGCCGAAAGTAAGATCGGCGCAACAATATCCGGAAGCAATTCGCTCGCCACGGGGGCTTCGGCGAAAGAAGTCGCCGTGTTTGCATTGCCTGACACATCGTAGAAGGCGGCACCCAAGACGACCATGCGTGGCAAAGAATCCACGATTTGATTTCGGCGCTTCAGCTCGGCGAGCGAAGCCGGGACGACAGCCGTTGTCCAAATGGTCTTGCTAGCCACGCTGCTAACAACCGTCATCTCAGGAGCAAACTGGGAGCTTTGATCGCTCGCAACAAGCACAAAGCGACCGGTAGAAGCCGCAATTGTTGAACCTGGCACTGGTTCGTCAAATGTCAGGAAGACCATGCCACCATTCATGTCCAACGTAAATGCCACCAAAGTTGGAGGAACCAGATCTGGTACAAACTGGCTTGGGTGCAGCTCCAGCTCATGAACTGCTGAAACATTCACTCCAGCTTGATCACGAACACTTCCGGCTAACAGCGAGAGCGAGGCTGAGCTGGCATTATATCCGATACCCACTGCCAGCAGCCGATTGAACGTTGTATTGGATAGTGCAATGTTAATGGACGCTGCATCAGTCACAGTTGACACTGAGCTGTTGCTCAGAGCAACTTGAGGCGTGCCACCAAGATAAATGGAGGCCAAATTGATGCTAGTCACGTCGATAACCTCGCTGAAGTTCAGAGTCACAACGCGCTGTGTCAAATCTACGGAGAAGCTTGCAAGCACAGGATTGCTGCTATCGGCAACAAAGGTGGTGCAGAGGGTTACACTATTAGCCACGGCGTTTCCACTCTTGTCTGCGCCCAACACAGGGCCCACCACAAGGTAGCTACTGGATAGCGAAGTGAATAATGTCTCATCCGTTTGAACCGCATGCAGTTCTGTGGCAGTGAGATTGACTTGCACGACATAAACGGTCACGCGCACCGCTGTGGCGTGCATAAGAACATAACTGCTTGTTCCACTCGCATCGCTCCGTAGCTCAAGATCCGCCGCCGTGACGTTGCTACTCAAAGGTTCATCAAACGTGAGAAGGAGCTGTCCAACGTTCATGTCCACTGCAAACTCCTTCAAGAAAGGCGGTGAAACATCAGCCTGAAATTGGTCAACAGTCGCGTTGTAAGCAGCATTGCTATTGCCATTCAAGTCTTCAGCAAAGCCCACATCAATGTGCACATGACACGATGCGGATACCAAGCAGATTTCGTGACGTTTCATTGCGTTCATTTGCTCTTCAAGCAATTCCAAAGTCAGCACAGTCTCGGCAGCTGAAAATGTAATGACACCGGCCCCATCAAGAGTGATGGCCAGTGCCCCCGATGAGAGGTTGATTTGAGCGGCGAGCACCGTACTCACATCCACAAATTCGTCAAACGTCACAGCAAGCTGCGAGGTGTTCATGTTCAGTGCCACGGATTGAACTTGAGGCGCCACAATATCGACACTCAACACATCGAGCAATTGCAGCACGGTATCAATGGGATTGCCATACACATCGGTTACAAATCCAACACCAATGACTTGCACAGTTGATGCATTGTTATTTGACCAAAGAGCCGCTTTGATTGCATTGCTTTCGGCGCGCGTCAGTTGCAGCACAACAGTGCGGAGCGTGGCACCTTGCTCTGCCGCATTCAAGGTGGCAGCAGGCAAAGACGTGTTGGTACCATTGACCCACAGCACAATTTCGGATGCAAGGAAGGAAGTGGCATTCACCATCTCATTAAAGCTCAAGACTAAATGATCTGCGCTCATGTTCAAAGCGGCCCACTCCAGGAGAGGGGGCACCTGGTCCGCAACAAAGTAATCAACAGATGCATTAGAAGCATCGTTTCCATTTCCAAATACATCAACAACGATGTCCGTGGGCAAGAACAGAGAGCAAGTCTCTGCGCTTGTGCAGGTGGGGTAGGCAAGCGCCAATGCGTCTGCAACCGCCGTGGATAGGCCAATAGTTACAAATTGCTGAAGTCCAGTTTCCATCACATTCCCACTGAGCTGGACTGTGCCAAGCGCCATCGCACTCACATTAATGGCAGAGGCATTGATGGCTTTTGAAAATGACAGCAGGAGCGCGCGCATTGAAAGATCCAAAGTGCTATTCATCAGCTCAGGTGAACGCGCATCTGCAGTCCACTCTGCACTTGAGTTGTGCTGGGCGTTGGGGTTGCCAAACATGTCGATCACAGCTGCAGGCATCACTTCACAAATCACTTGAATGTCGGTTGATCCCAAAGCGGACTGGGACATGAGGCTTTCATAGGTTGCAGTACTCACAGGCACATCTCTCAGAACGTCACTAGCCACGGTCACGTTAGTGGACTGCATTGGGATTGTGATGATGGGCTGGCTGGTCGATGACACAAGAAGGATGTTGATTGCGTCAAAGCGGACATCTCGCACGACCTCTGAGAAGTGAAGGGTCATGTTTTGGTATGAGAGATCAAGGCTGCACCGCGTCACGACAGGCAATTCAGTATCCGCTAGGAGAGAAGACACATTGAAGCGCGAGACAGCCAAGTTTTCATTGCCGTATGCATCATTCACCACGTTCGAGAAAACGCGAACAGCGCAAGTATCCGTGTCAGTACAGAACACATCTGCAAGGCGCTGCAGAGCCAACAATGAGCTCGGATCCAGATGAAACATCAAGCTTTCACTCAAGCTTGACGCAGGAAGCAAAGCACCCGATACGTTTAATGAGTTTCCAGCGCTGCCAATAACTGTGAGAACCAAATTGATGCCGGAGGCTTCAACAACCTCGTCAAAGCGAAGGGCAAAATATCCACCCTCGTTCCAGCTAAAATCGACTTGCTGTAGCTCGGGTGCAATCGTGTCTGCAGTGAGGCTCGATGAGTTGATCAGCAGATAAGCGATGGCATTGTTTGACATGTCGATCAATGCATGATCTTGAAGCTGGAGGCCGATAGTAGAGGCAGGAAGCACGTGGTAAATGTATAAAAGATTGAGCTCATCTTGTACCAACGCCAAACTGATTTCTGGGCCATTGGCAAATATCACAGTTGCTCGTGCAAGGGGAACAAACTTGTCCATGCTAGCAAGAGCCAGTGCGCTGACGTTCAGACTTGACACATTAACAGTCTCGTCGAAGGTCAAGTGGAGCTCCTCTGAGGTGAGGTTTAAACCAAAGGCCACGAGCTGAGGTGCCGTCGTATCGGCCACGTAGGTCGCCACCGGCATACCATCCGCAAGGGCAATTGATGTGACTGCATTGGGCACCAGTGCAAGGTCCACCACTGCAGCGCTGGTCAGGCTCACAAACGTCGAGGCCGCATCAACGGCCAAGGCATCCAGTCGCTTGATCTCGTTCATGTCCCAGGCACCAATGTCAATGCGCATGACAAGGCCGTTGGCGCTGGTGGTGGATGAGCCTCCCACAGCAGCTGAGAGGGTGTGGGACTGGGCTGGGGTGGCTGATGCTTCGGATGCGATTGTGATGTGGTCGACATCGAAAGAGGCAGCCAGAACGGGTTCATCGAAGGTGAGGTCCAGGGTGGCTGCGTTGACATTCAGCGCCGCCGCCACAAGCGTTGGCGAGACGGTGTCTGACTGCAAAGCTAGAGGCAGTGCTTGTTGTTCATTGGCCACGGCAAATTGATTGACGATCGCACCTCCCTCCACAAAC